GGGGCAGGACCCTGGCGGGGCGGGGCCTAGCCGCCAGAGGGCGTGGCCGTGCGACACTGGGGCCGGGACGGTGGGACGGGGCTGGGCGCCCGAATTCGGGGTCCCCCTAATGGATCAAGAACTGGGTCTTCTGGATCCATAGGAGAGGAGGGGCTTGGGACCCCACATTCCAGCAAGCCTGCCCAATGGGGAGGTAGCGTGGACTTTCTCTGTGGGACCTGGGGGCAGAGGGTGCAGACGCGGGACTAGGAGCCCATAGTATCCTAGATATTTACTGGGGAGTGGACTGGGCCCCACAGTACCAGCCTGGAATCTGTGGAACTGGACAGTATTGGAACTCCTAGGCCAAGGCGAGCACTGGCAACTTGGGCTTTCCCTGAGCAGAAAGGACTGGCAGTCCTGGTTGCTGGGTCCTCGGTGGGGACTGGGGTTCTGGAATCCTCCAGAGGGGAGAAGGTCCTACCTCTTTGTTCAGAGTCTTTAATTGGAGCTAGGGCCCATCTTACTCTACCCCTGGGAAAGGTGTGTGTGTGTGGGGTAGGGCTCAAGATCCCAGAATCGCAGGTATCTTAGTGGCGTGGAGCTGAGAAACTAATGTATTCCTCAGGGAGGGTGGGGGAGCAGGGGAACCTGGACCCATGGAAGTTACAAGGTTTGATCTCAAGGATCCGATGGAGCCAGAGCAAAAATGTGCTCCCTCGAGCATTTTGGGGCCTCCAGGGGCTCAATGCAAGTCCGGGATTCCTGCACTTGAATTCCCGGGGGTCGGACCTTGGGGCAGAAAGAACCAGGGCCCTCCACTCCCCAGCCGCACATTCCCGCGCCACGTGAGTCCTCGCCGCCCTCCTCTGTGCTTGGCACTCTGCGCACGCGCGGTCACGAGGGAGGGGGTGTGGCCTGGGGGAACGTGCGGGCTCTGGGGGTGGGGGCTGGAAAAAAAAAAAAAAGCAGGCGCGGGCACGTGACTCGGCCCTGAACCTGTGTCCTCAGCTGGCCCCGGCTTGCTCGCTCTTAAAGGCACAAGCCGCTACTCTTACTAAACTAATCTGAAACCATCACTCTCACTTCTCTCTCCTAAGTTTTCAAAACTAGTAGGTCTTAAGGGTCTATCTTGAAGGTTTTTCAGTGTACGAGATTCTTTTCCCCTGAAAGCCTGGGGTCTAGACTTTGGCCCAGGATTTGGTTAGCAGGATTCAGGCTCTACTGGGAAAGAAGCTTAACACTGCATTTGAAGGTCTGAGGTTTTACAAGCAGTAACTCTAACTGTGTTCTCAGGGCAAGTCAAGTATGATTGGGCCTCAGTTTCCCTATTTGTGAAAGTAGAGTTGGTTTCATGTTTTCTAAGCATCTTTGTGGTTGTAAGGACCCTTCATATTTCTAGAAGGGAGATTGATTCCTGGCAGGCTTTATGTTAGACTACAGAATTGCCTTCTAGGTGGTAGATAGGATGCTTGTAGCAGGGAGTAGCCTCTGGGACTCCCCCTCTCACCAACATAAACAGACTCAATTGACACATTCTATTTCCCCAAGGCCTGACCTCTCGGGACACACCAAGCCCTGTGGACCCAGATACGGTGGAGGTGCTGGTGACCTTTGAACCCGACCCGGCTGACTTAGCCCTGTCAAGCATTCCAGGCCACGAGACCTTTGACCCTAGGAGACACCGCTTCTCAGAGGAGGAACTTAAGCCCCAGCCCATCATGAAGAAAGCAAGGAAGATCCAAGTGCCAGAGGAGCAGAAGGTGAGCGCTGCAGGATAGAGTACGCCGGCTTGGCTGACATACTCCTGGCAGCCAGGGCACACCCTTTCCTCACAGTCAGATCCGGGGTGTTCACTGGGATTGGCTCTTAGGTTCTCCTGGCCTACAGCCAAGGATCTGTCCTCCTTGGCCATGGTCAAGGCCGGAGGAGGTTGGGGCTTGAGATTTATGGAGATATCACAGGCTCAGCCAGTCTTGCTGGGTCCTGTGGAAAGGGCTTGACACATCTATCAGTTGGACCCAAAAGCCTCACTGGAACACACATCAGGATCTCTTGGGCCCAGTTGCTAAGGATAGCATTTCTTAGCAACGGGGCATCATCCTGCTTCTTAGGAACAGCCCTGCAGACTGGGGCTGGTCCTTTGATCTCTGATTTGGCCATTTTAAGAGCACTGAGGGTTCTTGTTAATAAGCGTTGTCCACAGCAATCAGATTGTAGGGCTGGGGAGCCCTGAGCATAATCATGTGGGGAGGTCTCAGGCTAGTCTCCTTTGCTAAGGAACAGCTCTCCGCTGGGGAAGGAGGTAACTCCCTGGCCTTTATTCAAGGCCAGTGGGTCAGAGATTGGCTGCAGTCTGGGACTATTTAGACCTCACATTTGTTTGCCACGGAGTGATGAGTTGTCTTGGCAACCAGGTCACTAGGACCCAGCTTTGGGAGGGTTTTATGGGACACCAAACCCCATCACTAGGGAGTCGACTTTCCTTAGCAACCAGGATCAGGGTAAGTGATAAGTAGGGCTGTGCTTTTCACTAGAATCCCTGAGCTCCTCCAGGCCCTGTTGCTAGGGAGTAAGCATCCTTAACTACCAGCAGCTAACTGCAGTCAAGTGAGAAGGGCTGCTGGGGTCTGCTTCGCAGAGGGAGACTTGAAACCCAGTTGCTTGGGGAGCTCTCCTGCCTTAGCTGTTGCTAGGGGCCTACTTCAGTCAGCCCTGGAAGGGCAGATTCTTGAATATCCACCTAAGGGAAGGCCCAGTACCCTCACAGATCCCACTGCTGGGCAAAAAGAATTCCAGGAGATCTCTTAGGTGGTCCTTGAAATCATAAGCAAACCAGCTCCTCCAGCCCTTCTGGATCTCAGTGCCTTCCAACCTCCCCCCCCAGGACGAGAAGTATTGGAGCCGGCGGTACAAGAATAACGAGGCAGCCAAGCGGTCCCGAGATGCCCGGCGACTCAAGGAAAACCAGATATCGGTTCGGGCGGCCTTCCTGGAGAAGGAGAACGCCCTGCTGCGGCAGGAGGTGGTGGCTGTGCGCCAGGAACTGTCCCACTACCGTGCTGTCTTGTCTCGCTACCAGGCTCAGCACGGAGCCCTGTGAGGGGGGGCCCCCCCGCACTCCCACCCGATGGAGCCCTTCTCCAGCTCCCTAAGACTCTGGGCCCTCCTTCCTCCCCGCCCTGTGGCCCACAGGCCCGGCCAGCTGGGTGCCCCAGGGACGTGATGATACAGATAAATACATTTATATTTTTAAGAAAAAGTGAGCCTCCCCCCTCCCTCACGGGGGTGGGGAGGGTCCTCTAGGTGTGCCCCCCCGCCACGTCGGGGACCCCATCCTTCCACAGCCTCCGTTAACGAGATCCTGAATAAATCTTGAGAACCCCAGAGCCAGCTGTTGTGGGGGAAGAGGCAGCTTCCTGGCCCAGGTTCAAGGCCAGCAGGTCACACTGGCCTTAGTCCCTGGGCAGGTTTGGGCATGGGGCCAGAAAAGGCAGGGACCGCTGTAAGTGACCAGCGCCCGACCCTCTCCGTGGGCTGCCAGATTGAAGGCGAGGGTCAGAGGAATGAAGCGACTGCCTTTATTGCATAGACCTTTTCAATTGCTTTGAAAGACGGGTCGGGGACGCACAGAGATACGAGGAGAGGACTTCCTGGCCCCCACCCGTGGGGGAGGAACATTAGTGCAATATCAGAATGTCAGCCTGGGGGACCCGCCCCTCCTGGGCTGATTGGCCAGTAAGCGGAGGCACCGGAGTGGGTAGGGCGAGACCCGGGCCCGGCCTGGCCAATTACTGAAGGCCTCCCCAACCCTACATTCCAGGTCTCGTCATTGGACGACGCGCAAGACAGGCCCCGCCTTCAGCAGACCTGGGCTTCTACTAGTCCGAGGCCAGCGCTTGGACTGAGCCCTGAGCTCAGTGCTCCGGCACTGCCTTCGGCAAGGGCCAATCTATGACTGAGGACTCCCGCCCCTGGCACTGGAGCCGTCCTCCAGCATCGCCTCTGGTACCCTGAGGGTGGGCACAGTCCGGGGACCTGGCCAAGGCCCCTGCACACGTGTGAGGCCCCAGCCCTAACTCAGCCAGCACCCTCTGGAATGTAGGCCGGGCATTGGGGGCTCCGATTCTTGATAGGTTCAGGGCTCCCGCGCCGGGCTGCCCGGAGGCCCAGTGATGAGCGTACCAAGACCTGGATGCAGCTGCGCTTGCAGCGGCCCATACTCCACCTGCTCCCCGTCCACCGTGAGCACTCCGCGAGGCGTCAGTGGCTCGAGGCGGAAGGCTCGGACGGAGGCATAGCCCAGCTGCGGGCAGCCCTGGCTGAAGTGGTTGCCGCGCTCCATAGCTAGGAAAAGGCGCAGCAGCGCTGCCCGCGAGATGCCGCTGCGCACCCAGCACAGGTGCACCAGGCCATCATCAAAGCGCGCATGGGGAGCTGCCACCAGGTCGGCCCCCAGGTGGCTGGGCGAGATAGCCAGTATGAGCACGAAGTCCCCCTCCAGTGTCACCCAGCCTGGGGGTAGTGGGGTACCTAGAGGAGGAAGCAGGTGGTCTGCTAAACCACAGGTGGAGTCAGCTATAGGGGCATCAGGGGTAGGAGGTGGGGGCCCAGAGGATGGTGGCATTTCTGGGGTCCCCTCGGTAATGGGCGAGAGTAGAGCTGCCTTGGGGGACCCAGGGGGGGAGAGCAGCAGTGGATCAGGGGACAGCGGGGCATCCCCAGCTCCACCCCAGTCACCCACCAGCTCTGGGCCACCATTGAGTGACAGGATGGGCAAGGGCTCAGGTGACCCAGGGGAGGTCAGGGGAGGCTGGGGCAGGGGCAGGGGCAGGTCAGACACTGAGCGATGCAAGGGGGAATGGGCCACTGGTGGGGCAGGGGCGGGGGCCAGGGTCAGCTCTGACTTGGCACGGGGCAGGCTATGGGCAGCGGTGGGGGAGGCTGACTCCACCGTGGCAGGGAGGTAGGAGAGGCGTCCTCGGTAGGTGTGTAGTGTGGCCAGGCCCAGCACCGTGCCCAGTGTGAAGCGGGCACTGCCCAGGGCCCTGAAGCGCTCGCTTTGGATGTCCACGTCTGACACGAAGCCCCAGGCCACAGACAGGAAGGAGAAACAGCGGGAGCCTGAGGCCAGTGTCACAGAGAGTAGGTCCAGTGGGTGGTGGTTGCCCCGGCAGAGCAGCAGTGAACAGTTGAGCAGCAGGTCGAGGCCCAGGGCCTGCTCAAAGCTTCAGAGGCAGAGATGAATGGATGGTGGGAAAGAGCAAATGGAGTTGGGTGAGACAGACTGCGCCGGGGGTGGGGGGGTTGGGTGGGGAGCAGGCTGTTCAGAAATCAGGCAGGCCACACTGCTAGCCCCACAGCATTCTGGCTGCCCTCAGATGGACTCATTACTGGACACTTCTTTCCTGCACAGGTATTCAGGGAGTGCCTCCAGTTTGCCAGTCACAGTTCTAGGCACTAGGGAAACTGGGGGGCAGTGGGACAGGATGTCCAGGCAGCGGGGAGCTTGGCTGGCAGTGGACTGGCTGAGGGGAAGATGCAGAGGGAGCTGTGCCGGGTCCCTCTCATCCCAGGAAAGCTCACCCCTCCCCAGTGCATCCGAAGGCGCCCCCAACGCAGGAGCGCCAACCTACCCCCCATGCTGGTTCACGGCTCCAGCCAGTGCGTTGCCTGAGCCGCAGGGGAGGATGCCCACGGGCGTCTTCACAGCCTTCTCCCAATCAGGGCGATCTAGGAGTCCATTCAGCACCTGCAGTGCGGAAGACCAAATGTCTGCACCCAGCCTCGAGTCCCCCAGGGCTCTGAGCTCGGGGGGAGGGGGGGCTCCTACCCTACCTCGTATAACAGCCCATCTCCAGAGACGGTGACGATGCCATCCCACTCGCTCAGGCTCAGCCCCTGCACCAGCTCCCGGGCGTGGTTTGGCCGTTCTAATGAGGAATCGGGAGAGGGGGCAGGCTGGTTGACATCAGCTGCTTTTCCCTCAGTGCAGGAGTCCAGCCCCCCAGGCCCGGCTCTGGCCCAACACCATCCTCACCTGTCCGGATGAGGTTGAAGGACAGCCCAGCCTCGGCGATCATGGGCAGCACATGGTTTTTACACCACTGCCAGGCCAAGCCTCGCCCGCCAAAGGGATTGACCAGTAGGAGCAATCGGGGTGGCTTGGGCAGGAGCCCAGGGCTAATTTCTGCAAGAAAGGAGAAGGTGTCTACAGAGAGAGGGCAGACACCCAGGCACCTTGCCTCAGGAATAGTTACTGCCAGCAGCCCTCAGTGGAATATTGGGGAGGGCTGGCACCTGGAGCTTCGTGGGCGTTGTGTTTGTTCTCCCAAGCCCAGGTGGGCAGCCCTGTCCCCGCCCATCCCAGGTGCGAAGGCAAAGATAGGGCTTGGGGAGCTAATTCCAGTGCCCTTTGGATCCAGGTGTGGGAGGAAGGTGAAGTGTGGTTTCCACGGTGCTCACCCATGCTCTCCCCATACACCTGGAACCCAGATCAGGTTACTCCACTGTGTGAGGCACTCACCCAAGCGGCCAGCAGGACCCCAGAGGACCAAGGAAGCCTCACCAGATGGGGCCCCTGGGTGGGGGCCTGAAAAGGCCCTCTCTGACTTAACCCCTTCCCCCACCCTCCCACAGGCTGGATTAGCTGCCACCTCTGGGCACCTGGAAGCCCTGACCTATGTGCACGCTGGGCACCCTGGGCGGTGACCACTCATGTTTCAGTCTGTTGCTCTCATCCAGAGCGAGCCTCTGAGTCAGTCATCTGTGGTGAAGACCCACAGAAGAGGGGAAGAGAGCAGCAAAGCGCTTTTCTCTGCCTGCGATTGTGCCCCGTCTATGCCACATTCTTCCAAGACGGACACAGACAGACAAATCACATGAACAGACGCACAGAGCAGCAGAGACAACAGTGCCCACAGAGGGAGATCCAGAGACACGAAGGTGGCCCTAGCACAGAGCAGATGCCCAGCGCCTCACCCCCGTCCCCAGGAAGTGGCAGTCCACGGAGCAGACATGTGAGGACAGTGGCCCAGTGCTGGGCCTCAGCGCGGTTCTCCTCGTAGGTGGCCGCCCCGTCAGCCTGGAAGGTGCGTGTGGCTCTGCGCCGGGCCCCACGCCGGCCCCGCGGGTAGGTGTAGATGCAGAGGTAGGCGGCTGAGTCTGAGGGGCTGCGGCTCCGCAGGGTGCAGCAGCCTGAGACCTCAGCCAACGGGACCAGGCCGCCCCGGGGCCGGGCCTCAGGCTTTGGGCGCAGCCGCTGTATGTGCAGGGCCTGTGGTGTGAGAGTGAGGGCGAAGCGTGAGCCTCGGGCTGGGTATGAGCCAAACTCGCCATGCAGGAGTGGGGTGCTGGCGGCCAGCGGCAGCGGCAGCGGCAGCGGTGGGGCCATGGCCTCGGCCCTATCCAGGGCGCTCCTAGGCCAGTGGCCCCAGCTCCAGGTCACCTCCTGGTCCGGCCTCTGTGGGGAGGGAGGAGGGGCAGGAGTCAGAGTCTAGGACCCCAGTGTCAGGTGGAGGGAGGCAGGGACAGGGCCCGTGGACAGGAGGAGACAATGAGGGCAGTGACAAGTGAGATGGGAACACCAGAGACAGACAGGCTCAGACAAGTGTGGGGTGAGCCTGGGAGGCAGAGCCGAGGTCAGTGGGACAGGAAGGCAGGCATTCTAGAGGGTCCGCACCCAGGCACGCTCACTCAGCTCCTCCCCGAATGTTACTCAGGGCCCTCTCTGTGCTGGCCATGGTGCAGGGCCAGCGAACAAAGCAGGGAGCAAACCAGACACATTTCCCTGCCAGTGTGAAGTTGCAAAATAAAGAAGTAAAATATACTGTGTGCTGGACGATGGGAAAGACTTCAGGGGAAAACAAGGCAAAGGAGAGGGACTGGGATGGTGGAGACGTGCAAAACAGACACGCAACAAAAGAAAACAGACACACACACACACAGAGCAGGAGTCTTCTCCAGATGGAGAGAACTGGAGAGAAAGACACACAAAAGAAGACATTTAGCGAGAACAGACAGTTTCAAGGAGATTAACCCTACGATGAAGAGAGGCCAGAAACAGGTCAGGGTGTCAGGTTCTTTGAGGGTCAGGAAGACACAGCAGGGAGACCGGAGACAGGGAGGCAGAGAGCTGCAGAGATGGAGAAAGGGGTGTGACATGGGGGGGGGGGCAAGGAGCCAGGAAGCCACATACAGGTGCCTGCAAGGGCCAGGGGACAAGAGATGGACCCAAACACTGACCTGGACGTCTGGCCTCCTGCTCTCCAAGGAGCGGGTGGGAGCTGGGGCCGAGGTCCCCTTCCCAGAAGCCTTCCCCCTGCCCTCTGGCCAGCCTCTGCCTCCTTTCTGTACCTTTGTACCCCACCGCCCCGCCCACCCAGCCCTTGTGAGTTCTGCCCCTCACCTTGCCCCACCCATACCTGCTCCATAGACATCATTTGTGGGCTCACCGGGAGCCACCTCAGCTCCAGCCCTGGGCAGCTCCCTCAGGCCCCACCCCGAACTTGCACTGATTCCCTTGCTGCTGGTCACGTTTGGGCACGGAGCCCTGGACCTCTCTCCGTCCTGGGTCTGACTCTGTCCCTAACCCCAGTCTCTTGCCGGGTGTCCATCCTCTCCACCCCTCAGATACCAGATGTGGGTCTGGGTCTCCATCCATCGGTCCCCAACCCAGAGGGCTGAATCTCTCTCTGGATCACTTCCCGAACCTATATCCCCACCCCAATTTCAAAGCCCAGTCATAGGGCCAAGGTTTCCATTCCTGTACCCCTCAATCCCGGTCTGCCTCTCCATCACCACTCCCCACCCCTGGTACCCCAGACCCTGGCCTGCGACTCCACTCCCCTGGGTCCTCCGCCCCTCAGGCTCGGCTCTGCCGCGACTCCCACCCCCCCAACCCTCCTCACACGCCAGCTCCTCCTCCAGGCGGCCCCTCAAGACGGCACCAACCACCCCCATCAGACCTAGGGGTGGGGGGAGGGTGTGCAAGTCCTCAGCCAATGGCCGATCGCCGGCCACAGTCGCACCAATGAGGGCGCGGGAGGGCGGGGCCCGCCAGCTCGCGAGTTTGGCGCAGGGGCCGACTGCGGGCGAACGGGGCGGGGCATCGCGAGAATCCAGCGCGCCGCCATGGCGGGTGAGGGCAGACGCGCAGCAGAGCCGGCCTCACAGCCCCACCGCCAGCGCCCCTGCCGCCACCTTTGTTGAGGGCAAGGAGCGCGTCTCAGCACTGACTTACTTCATTGGAAGGAGTAGAGGGGAAGGTCTTTAGGGCGGGTCACAGTAACGAACACCCAGACAGTATAAAGGGAGTTAGCTAAGGAGAACCAGAGAAGCAGCGCAAGAGGCCATAAGAGACTTGCAGACAGCTTGTGATCTCTTTTTTGTTACCAAGAACTAGACACAGATAAGAGCAAAGATAGTGGTACTGAGAATATTCAGAGTAAGGTGGCAAGGAAACTAGGAAAATGACAGACTCAGAGATGAGGACAGACACTTTTGGAATGAAGAGGAGGGAGGAAAGGTTCAACACTAAGTATTTACCTTGGGGGCAAACTAGAGTGGAGATCACATGACATACCACCTGCTCAGTGAGTGACCTGGTCACACAGTTCTCTCTCAGGGGTGTGGGAGGAGAATGGAGGAAGCCCAGAGGCTTGGAGGAACTGAGACCAAGAGACAGAATAAAAGATGCTGACAGCAACAGTGCGTCAAAGACTCACTGAAGGAAAGCAAGGCAAGAATATCAGACGTAGGAACTATGTTGCAGAAAGACATGTGGAGAAGACTATTGGAACAGAGCTTGCTAGAAAGAGATAAATATCAGGAGTTCATTACTGCCAAACAACATACCTTGTGTTTAACCCAGCAAAACAACAGCACCAGAAAATGGGCTAAAGAATGATTGAGGGGGGTGGAGGGCAACAGAAACTAAGACGGGGAAATGGGGCACCAGAGAAAAGTCAGACAGACATACTGACCAGAGAGACTGGCTAGGACTCAAAGACATATAGACAAGAGAGCAACGACGAGGAGGAAGCGGGTGAAATGGTGTCCTGTGGTACAGTGATCTTTACTTTCAGATAGACCCTTACCTGGTCCCGCTGCTCCACTGCTTCAAGGTGTCCATTCATCTATCGGTCCTCTGCTGTGTTACCACATCAGTGGGACCCTAGTCCTGGTTTGGAGGCCATGGTAGGGTGGTATGGATAAGGAGTTCTCACGATCCAGCCTTTGACTCTGTGGAGCATAGGTGAGCAAGCAGGAACATACAGCATAGATGACAGAATCCCAGACTGTATTCTGGGATCCAGGGGGCAGGGCCTGGCTGAGAAAGGAAAGAGGAGAGAGGTCAGATTAATTACTGCCCCAGCCAGTCCATCTGGTCCTATTGAGTAAAGTGTAATGACAGGAATGAAGGCTAATTTTTATTAAGCACTTATTCTGTGCAAAGCGCTGTCCTAAGCACTTTTACTAATTTATATAACCTTGGAATCCAATCTATGTGCCAGTCCTATTATTATCCCCTTTTTTGCAAATAAGGTAACATAAAGTGAGGCACTTGATCTGCCCAAGGCCACATTGTTAGTAAGTAGCAGAACCAGTATTTGAATTTGGCTACAAGTGGCACAGCCCCATCTCATCCTCTTTTTTTGTCTCTGCTCCCTCTGATTCTACCAAGAGCTCATGACAGCAGTGGAAGCTAATTTTTTTTGGTCTGTGTGATGGGAGACTACTTTTTATTAAGCAAGTACTGTGTGCCAAACTCCATCCTAAGCATTTTTGCTAACTTAAAATAATCTTGGGAAACACCATATGTGCCATATCTGTTATCACCTCCTCTTGCATAAGCACAGGAAGGTATCTGACTTGCCCAAGGTCACAGTTAGTGAGCAGCAGACCCAAGATCTGAATCTGACTACAGCTAGCAAAGCCCCATCTCACCATCTTTCTTTGTCTCTGTTTCTCCCTGGATCTCCATCTTCCCCCCTTTGTTAGATCTCCTCCTCACACCTTCTTCTGTCTCTGTCCACTCTCCTGAGTCCCCATTCTCCCTCCCCTTTGAATCTCTGCCTACATCTTTTTAAAGTCTCGCTTCCCCTCTCTTTCAGGAGCTTTTTACCCATCCCTTCTTCACTCCACTCTCCTAGGCCTCAGTGTGCCTCCTCTGTGCTCCAGTACCGGCCACATCTCTCACACCCAACCCGCTGGGCCACTTGCATATCTCAGGCTGGGAAAAGCAGCCCCCAAGTGGCAGAGGCCGAGGAGGGTCAGGGAAGGGCAATCTGGGGGCACGGGAAGAAGCGGAACTTAAGAGGCGGAAATACAGAATGCTATAGACTGGGCTGCAGCAAAAGATCGCGGGTTAGACCTCAAATAGGACTATCGGAACTACGGCCGCGCTAAGGAAGCGTGGTGCTAAGGAAGCAGAGGGGAACCCGATAAGGAAACGAAACACCGGGGCAGCGCGGTCAGAGGTTTCCCGAGGTCCCGGACTAGCCCCGCCAGCCCCGCCTCCTCACCTCCAACTCTTGGCCTGTCGGGTCCTCCGGTAACCACAGAGAGGCTCTGGGCTAGAGCGTCAGAGCGCGACGCGTCCTTCTAGCCTCGCGCGACATCTCTCTCGCTCCCAGATGCCTTGCTTCCGGAAAACCATCGAGAACATGGGCTGAGTAGGGATAGAGAGGCCCCAACGTGCGGGCCCTCTCCGCCGTGACGTAGGAGTTGCTCCTCTTTGTTGTTCTTGTACCCAGTTCCGGAATCGCCCATCTAGCCAACCCTCCCACTCAGCATAGAAAAGTCCCTGTCACAGTAAGCGCCGAGTCGCGTGCTTGTGGCGTCACGCAGGCGCCACTCACTGAAGACTTTCCCCGCCCACTTCCGCTCTGTTCTCTCTTTCCGGACCTGGCCGAGCAGGAGGCGCCATCATGGTGAGCGCGCTTTGCAGTCTTCTGAGCACGATCATCTACCGCCATCCGTCGCGATCTTGCGCTGGGGGAGTACCCGAGGCGGGCAGGGATTCCAGGGAGTGCCCGAAGGAGGCGATCCCCTCTTTGAGCGTCAGCTCTTAGAAGACCAGGACCGGGGATGGTCAGTCATAATCAGCCTCCGGTCTTTCACACTCGGCTGTATTATAGTCCCACTAAAAAGTTAAACAAATTGAGATACAGGAGGGCTGAATGATGTGACCGGACTGACGGCATTAGGAGCTGGTGGAGCCAGGGTTTGGGCCCAGGCGTTGGCCGCAAAGCCCCTCTTAACGTCTTTCGCTGTCTCTACTGAGACCTGTCACTCCCCTTGGGAAGTTGAGCTCTGGAGAGTGTCGGGCGGCCGGTGCCCGCTGTAGGAGCTAGGAAGGCCTTCACGTCCCAGCTCCCTGGTCACCCTGTGGTGGCCTTGCATCCTGCAACACAGTAATGACTGTCTCATTGAGTGGGCAAGAAATAAGTCATACAGTGTTCGCCCAGAATCTTGCCAGACATTGAGTGTTGAGTAAATGGGAGCTATTGACATCTAAGGAGCTTTTTTGCAATTAATAACATAGTCTCAGAAGAGTGTTAGTAGTAAGAAAAGAAAGGGGGAGTAGTGGGCTTCCGTCCATTTTCTTAGCTCTAAAGTGGGAAACGACCTGGAAAGTTGGTTGCATTCAGGAGCTAGTGCTTGCTAGGTTGTGCTGAGATCAGTTTCTAACGATTCATCTTGTTGCCATTATGAGCCTGCCTTTGGTGTAAAGGGTTTTGGTCATGTTCCACGTGTGGGAGCAAGTTCTGGGGACTTAAATTACTGGGGATTTTGTGTTAACGATTCTGTTAAGGTCTCACAGGGTGCTGTGTGCCATGTTCTGAAAGCTTTGCATCCACCCCTTTTTCACAAGAGCTCTTTGAGAACTGGAGCATTTAAGCGTTTCCCAGGGGCCTCCCAGAGCCTGGGCCCTAGCTCTTGTCTCAGGGATGATTGAGGAATGAGCTACCAGAATCTTTCCTATGCACGGTCTCTCCTTTCACCCCTCCCAGGGAGTCGACATCCGCCACAATAAGGACCGAAAGGTTCGTCGCAAGGAGCCCAAGAGCCAGGATATCTACCTGCGACTGTTGGTCAAGGTGAGACTGGGGCCCAGGACCCTTAGTCAGCACCGCCCCAGGGGAGGGGCTGTTGGCACCAGCAGCCTGCAGGGCAGGTTCATGTCTCTGGAGGTTTACTGTTTCAGTCTCTGGGTCAGGATGGGGTGACACCTAGATTTCTGGGTCCCTGTTTCTAGGGAACCTGGGCCAGCTCTCCCAGGGACTCAGTGGGCGGGAGGAGAGCTGTAGCAACTGCTGCCAGACTACACTGTGTTCTCTGCTCTGTCGTGTGGAGGAAAGGGCAGGCTGCCCAGGCGCTCACTCTTTCTTGCCCTTGTCCAGCTTTACAGGTTTCTGGCCAGACGGACCAACTCCACCTTCAACCAGGTCGTGCTGAAGAGGTTGTTCATGAGCCGAACCAACCGGCCGCCTCTGTCCCTTTCCCGGATGGTGAGTGCTGGTGTGTGCTGGTGCGTGGTTGCACAGCTGAGCTGGTCGGGGGAAGGGCAGGCTTCACTGTGGGGGCCGTCTATCAGCTGGAGGCGGGGAGGCACACAGCAGTGACCCTCCCGCTGTAAGTGAGTAGCTGCGGGTTTTCAGCTGCTTTTGGCCTCTGGGTGTATTTTGCCTCCTCGTTGTGAGTTGGGGGTGGCTATAGTGGCTTTGTGAGAGTGATCGGAGGTTTTGGGGCGTATGGCAGTGTGCTTGTATCCTCAGTTGGAGCTCTTCTGGGCTAGAGCTGGCGTTGTGTTTATGCCCGTGTGAGGTGTGGCCTGGGCACAGCTCTCCTGGTCCTGGGGCTGCTGGTACAGAGGGTTTGGATTTAACACCAGGAAGGGCTTCTTCAAAGTACATCCATTTCTTCTCCCCAAAAGATCCGGAAGATGAAGCTTCCTGGCCGGGAAGGCAAGACAGCTGTGGTCGTAGGCACGATAACAGATGACGTGCGCATCCAGGAGGTGCCCAAGCTGAAGGTGAATGGGGTGGCCACACCCTTGCTCTGCTGCAGTGCCGCCAGTCTTGGTGGTCCAGGAGGTGGGGGATTGAGGCAGAGACTGCCCCGGCAGGAAGGGTGGAGGCTGTCTCTGGGCAGGACTGTCTAGAGTCCTGTTGACGTCTGTGGCTCGGCCTAGTTCAAGTGCATATTTCTCTGCTGCAGTGTCACTTTGGGTCCAGGCCCAAACATCTCCTTGCCTCGGTTTTCTTTCTTGAGATAAGTGGGTGTTGTCCACTGGGCAGGCTCCCCTGGTCATTGGTGCTGTTGCTCATCGGGCTGTAAGACCCAGCAGCTCCTATTGGCTATTCAGGGGGTTCTGACACCCGCGCCCCTGTCCCGTGCCCAGGTGTGCGCACTGCGGGTGACCAGCCGCGCTCGTAGCCGCATCCTCAAGGCTGGGGGCAAGATCCTCACCTTTGACCAGCTGGCCCTGGACTCCCCCAAGGGCTGCGGCACCGTCCTGCTTTCTGGTGAGTAATGCCCAGTGGCTTCTGTGTGCAGGACCCAGCTGAGGGTTGGGGGAGGCAGTCTCGTCTGGCCGGTATGACCAGTGACACCTTTATCTTCCTCTCCTGGAGGGTCACTGATCTTCCCCTACCACACTTCAACCACGGAGGGTGACGCCCTGAGGTGGTGTGGATGCTGGGCCCCTGCCTGACCCGCTCCTTTCTTTCCCAGGTCCTCGAAAGGGCCGAGAGGTGTACAGGCATTTCGGCAAGGCCCCAGGCACCCCGCACAGCCACACCAAGTGAGTATGACCGGTCCTGCCCTGCCTGTCCCTGCACCCCACCTGCAGGCCTAGGACTGGCGTGCTCCACGGTCCTTCTCACACCCTTCTCACACACGTCCAACCCAGAGCCTCCCTCTCTCTTCCCACCTTTCCTTTCAAGAGGCTGCTAACGCTGTGCTTCTGGGGGTGTTAAGCTGGTGCACTGGCATCAGGGTCTTAAGCAGGTGGCATCTGGTGGACCCCTCTGCTGTCACCTGGGCTGCTGTCGCTGCTTTGAGTCTCTGGGGTACCCTGGCTTGCTGTAGCAGGGCATACTCACCGGCTCTTCTCCCCACAGGCCCTACGTGCGCTCCAAGGGCCGGAAGTTCGAGCGGGCCAGAGGACGGCGGGCCAGCCGCGGCTACAAAAACTAACCCCCGACCCTGCCTTGATATTAAAAAAATTTTGGACCCTGGCTGCCCTCTGTGTGTTATTGGAGGGAGGGGAGGTGCTGGAGCAGTTTCATTTGCAGAATTGGCGGCCACCAGCTCTCCGGAGCCCTGGGCCGCGATATGGCGACTGGCGTTGCTGCTGCGCGAGCGCCCTCTGGTGGTCGCGGCGCGCGGCGCATGTGCTTTGCTGTGTTCGTCGCCCCTTTGTGGACTCCTAGGCCGAAGCCCCGCCTCCTTCCCAAGCGCTGGTGTCAGGTGTTTCAACACCTGTTTGGTCGTTAGCCACACCCGCCCCTCTTAAAGGATCTTAGTGCCCTGGCGCCGGGGTAGGGACCAAGAAGAGGTGTGGGTGGTGGAGGAGGAGGAGGTGCGAGCGAACAGGCTGAGGCTCTGCCCCCACGGGAAGCTAGTCTGGTGGGCTACCATACCTGGGTGCGTGGTGCCTGAGGAGTGCTCCTGGGGCTGGGAGTGCCCGGGCCCAGGCTCAGGAGGGCCCTACCCCTGTTTACACAAGGGGCTGGGCTTTCCGGGATCCCAGGCAGAAGCGTGATGAATGAATAGAGACGGAAGAAGTGCAGAAAAAAAGGGTCACAGGCCCCTTGTTGGGACCGTCTAGCAGAGGCAGGAGCAGGTATGGACACCCCAATGGCGTGGGAGAGCTGGGATCGGGGAGGAAGAGGGGAGCCTGGTTTTATTCCTCTTCTCTTTGCAGGGCCTGGTGCTGTGATCTGGAGGGAGCCACGAGGGGGTGGGGTTGGGAAGGGGCTGGCTGCCGTTGGCAGAGCTCAGGGGTCTCAAAGGGAGGGGGACAGACTGGGCGTAGGTTGGTCCTCGCCGAGTTAGACTGGGACGGCCACCTTCTACAAGGTGGTGTGGTTGGGGCGGAAATCCTGACCTGGGTCGACATGGGCTAGAGGACAGCCAGAGAGAGCTCTGGCAGGGAAGACGGGCAGCTGGTCTGGAGAAGTGGCTAGTTCGTTCTGGCTCAGACGATAGGGGCTCTGGCGGAAACCCCCACTTAGCTCTCCACCCTCAGCTGTAGCTTCAGCTGCTCAGAAGCGCCAGGAACGGGGTTGCTGAGGAACGCTCTTCCAAAGCTGAGCCAGCAGGTCCACAGGGTGGGTGCCGCGGTGGGTGAGCCGGAGAGCCGTGGTCCCAACGAGGGCACCCGGTGCTCCAGATGGTCAGATGCTGAGGTCATTGGGAACCTGCCCCTCTGCCGGATACTTGGGGGGGGTGAGTCAGCTGTGCTGTGGGGCCAGGGTAGACCAGCCCATTCTGCCTTTCAGTAGGGACATTTGGGTGGCGGGGATAGGCAGATCGCCTGTGGCCTAGGGATGGTCAGGAAGTTGGCTTGATCTTTGGCCAGGATAGCGGGTGGTAAGCCTGACCCTTGCGAAGCAGCCAAAGCGTGGTGAAGTCTTTCACCAAGATGAACTGCTAATGGGTCACACAGTTGTGGGCCGTGTCCGAGGTGCCACCTGACCCACACCAGGGCCTATCAGACAGTGGTCCTGGGGTGACTGGAAGCCAGCTGACCAGTGGCCCAAGGGTCAGCCATTTGGGCAAGCTCACTGTCAGGTTGCTGCCAGGGACAGGAAGGGCTTTCCTGGGCTATTCTGGAAGCCTTGTGGGGCTGCAGAGTCCACCTACCCAGCAGCCCAGGGCAGTCTCAGCTTCCACACTCAGCCTCATCCTCCCTGCCGAGCTGTGCAATGGCAGCCTCCCAGCTGGCGGCACTGGAAGGGGTGGAGTTGGGAGCCAGTGATCCCCCCCTGACTAAGAACATCCCCAGCTGCCTGTATTCCGAGGGCCAGCGGCTGGCCCTGGATGCTCTGCTGAGCAATGGCACAGAGGCCTTCCAGGTGTGCATGCAGCGTGAGGGGCTGCGGCCCTTCCTGAGCAGTGATGAGCTCCAGGGCCTGGCACTGGCAGCGGAAGACTGGACAGCAGCTAGGCAGGAGCCCAGCAGGGCAGCCGAGGGAGACAGCACCGCGGCCGCAGAGGGGGACCTGGGCAGCCTGACCTACTGGCCTGGACAGTCAGAGGAGCCGGCGCCCCTGCTGCGGCTGGGCTGGCCAGATGATTCTGTCTGGAAGGGGATCACCCGGGCACAGCTGTACACACAGCCCCCGGCCGAGGGCCATCCACCCATCAAGGAGCTGGTGCGTCAGGAGATCCACGCCGCCCACAAGGTGGGGACCTCGGGCACTTGGTGTCCATTCCCTGGACTGGGACAGCCCCGTGTGCCAGCTCCCAGACCCCAGGGCCTGGGCATTGTCACCAAATGCCCTCCTGGGACCTGGGAGCCCACACCCCTCTCTGAGCCCCAGACTCACATCCCTGGAACTCTGACGTCCATACCTCCATCCTCTTAGGTAGGGGGTCCTCACCCTCTCCCCAAGACCTTAGACACCCATGCCTACTGGGCCTGGCACTCCTGGACACAATCATCATTGCCCACCTTCACCTCACCCCACCCCCCAAGAAAGCACCTTGATCTTCATCCAGCCAGGGCCTAGACATCACCCTTGCAGTCCCTGGACAGTGCATTTTGGGGTAAAGTTTTAAAGTTAGGACTCCTGAGGGTTTTATTGGAAAATCTAGGACATGTATCACATTTCCTCTAAGAACACTTCCCTCCCCCCCAACTTGCCCACCCTCTCACTCACCCACTTCCCTAGTAGAACCCACCCACTGGGGCCACAGTCCAAAGGTTTCGTTGTATTCAGATCATCTGTTGGCTTGTTTTCTCTTCAGTCCACCAGGAGGGAAATCACGCAGTGTTTGTCTTCTCTGGCTGCCTGGACAGCCCCTTTGCTTTAGTGCCTGCCAACTTCCTTCCCAAGTGCTTTAATGGTTAACGCATGCCGTCCTCGTGAGGGCCCAGCGAAGCAGGGACATGGCATGCCCTCCAGAGATGGGGAAATCAAGAAGTGGGGGATTAAGTCTCCCTGGAGAGTGGGATCCAAAGCAAACCCGTCTGACCTGTGGTTCAGCCATGGCTACCCTTCCTTCCCTTGCACCCCTCGCTCTAGCAGCTGAGTGTGGCTAGGTCAGCCCACCCCAGGTTCCGCAGCCCCCCAGGCATGCAGGCTTGCGGTTGCCTGCAGAGCTGCGCAAGAACACCCAGCCCGCTGACCAGGGCCACAGCCCGGGACACCAGGCACTGCTGTGGCCCAGTGGCCACGTGTTTCCAGCAGGACTTTCGGGAAGAGCTGTCTTTTCGGGAGAAGCAGTGTGTGTCTGGGGGTGGGGGGGGGCCCTTCTACCCTCCTGGAAAACCGCAGAGGCCAGGTGTTTAAACCCAAGCCCCGAGCCCCTCACCCCCCTCTCCGGCCTCGGGGTTCCCTGGGGCCCCTTTCCCACCCGCAGCTGGTGGCAGTGGTCATGGACATCTTCACCGACCCAGACCTGCTTTTGGACCTGGTGGACGCCACCATGCGCCGCCGGGTTCCTGTCTACCTGCTCCTGGACCGCCTGCAGCTGCCTGCCTTCCTGACACTGGCCCAGGAGCTGGGAGTGAATCTCTGGGCCACTCGGGTAGGGGCCTGGCTGGGGGACCCCTGATTTCCCTGGCACTGGAGTAGTGGAGGCAGACCCTCTGGGGTACTGAGTCATCGAGGTGGCTGCCAGCTGAGAGTCCCCCCTGAGATCTGGCACCCCGGTGTTGGGGGAAGTAGGCTTGGACCTTCCCTGGAGGCTCTCTGAGTTAGGGGCCCCTCCAGGAGATATTGGGGGACACAGACAAAGGCTCCCATGGAGTCCAGGTAGAACCAACCCAAGGGGCACCAAGACCTCGGCACTGAGCAGAGATCTGCAGGGTGGGCCTGAGCTACGGTGTGTCCCCCCAGAACCTGGATATCCGCGTGGTGCGGGGCTGCAGTTTCCAGAGCCGCTGTCGACGGCAGGTGAGTGGCAGCGTGCGAGAGAAGTTTGTGCTGCTGGATGGAGACAGAGTCATCTCGGGATCCTACAGGTAACCCCCAGCCTGCCCCCACCCCCGTCCCCAACATGTCCCAGCTCCACCGCTCCCTCGTGTCCAGAGGGCACTTGGCCCCCTCCCCGGTCTGTGGTGTGGCTCATGCCTCTCGTGCAAGGTTTCTGGACAGTGGCACAGCTCACATTTAGGGCCGCGGCCCTCTGAATAGTGGGGGACTCTGCACTGCTGGCTGTTGGCTGGTGCCCAGTTGGGACCACCCAAAATTTCCCCTGCCATTGCCAGATGCCCCTTGGGGGGCAGAGTTGCCCCACTGACAACCGTGGATCCCGGCTAGTGATTTCAACCTGAGTCATGTGAGCATTAACTGAGGATTTGTAAACACAGGCTTAGGGGCCCCACCCCCATGGGTCCGCAGGCTGGGCTGCACTTCCAGCAGTTTCTGCGGGATGTATATCCTGAAGTGGAGACTGTTTCTGGGAGAACCTACCTCCTAGCTTTGCTTGAGGGTTCATGGGTGCAGGGGACTGGCACAGAGTATCAGAAGTGCTTCATAAACATCAGTTCTCGTTTATTAGTGACTTTTTTTTTTTTAAATCCTATGTCATGCACTCTAAGGCGCCACCAATGAAAAGACGCATCCTGGTCTAAGTGGGAAGAATCACGTCTTAGCACCAACGGGACAGAGCAGGGCCGCGGGGTCCCCTACCCTGGCACCCCCGGGCCGCGGGAGGTGTGGCCGAGCCGCAGGTGGGCTTGGGGTAGACAGACAGAGAACGGATGGCGTCAGGGCCACAAGAGGTTGTCCAGGGCCTCTGGCCATTTAATAGGGGGCGGGGCAGAGATGGGGAGCGCGCAAGGGAGCCGGGAGACCAGTCCGGGCCCGCGCGGAGCGGTCACAGCAAGTACCAGAGCAGCAGCAGGGCCTCGGGCACGAGGGCCGCGCGGCTCCACCTCCGGCTGCCCCTGGGGCTGGGGGCCCCATTGCACATGTAGGAGTAGCAGCAGGTGCTGGACAGGCTGTAGGTGACGCCCATGAAGTTGACGGGCTCCTCGCGGCCACACTTGGTGGCCTGTATACAGCCTTTGTTGATGATGGTCCCGCCGCCCGGGGTCACCCCGCGGCCGGTGAAGCACTCCTCGTCGTCGCCGCAGCGCATGCGCAGGCCCGGGCAGATCACAGAGTCGGTCAGCTCACAGAAGAGGCAGTCCTTGGCTGCTGCGGCGCCCCGGGGCGCGGCGGCCACCAGCAGCAGCAGCCAGCCGAGGGCCATGGCGGCCGGGCGCCGGTGCTGAGGCCCCAGCCAGGCCGGGGCTTCCTGCGCCTCCTGGGGCTGCCGATGGGGCTCCCTGCACCGCGGAGACTTGTGTCCCCGGGGTGCAGCTCTCCCAGCCCGCTGCCCGGATGCCCTCGGTTCCCAGTGCTCAGGTCCCTTGCAGGAGTTCTGCTGTGACCACAGTCCTCGGCTCTCAGATGCTTCCCTGGGGGTAGACAAGAGCCAGCGGCTGCTGCCAGAGTGTCTCTGTGGAGTGGAATGGGGTGACCTCACAGACCTCCCTCCCCAGGGTTCCACTGGCCACGCTAGGGCTGAGGTCATAGTGGGGGGAGGGGTGTCACAATCGAAGTGAGGGGCAGCCTGGCCTGCCAGTTTATGCGGGAGCCAGGGCACCCCCACCCCACCCACCAGGATGCTCCCCTCGCCCTCCTGGGAGAGAACTTGGTGCCCCTTCTGCTGGGGAAGGGGGTCATGCCCAAGGGGAGTGGGTACCCTCAGTGAGCCCATTTTTCAGATGGAAAAACTGAGGCTCACACAGGCAAAGGGATGGATCCCTTTGGAGCAGAGCCCAAATCCAGGTAAATCAGAGAGAGCTGTACGCAGAGACCTCAAGGAACATCTGCTGTGACCATAGGGATAGGAAAGTCCCGGGCTGAGCGCCAGGCAGGTGCGTGACCCTGTGGTCTTACCTTGACACTGGCTGCGCGTTGCCGGTAAGAAAACTGAGGCCTGGAGCGGGCACACCCAGAGTCTGGCACAGGAGAGCTTAATAAATGGAGGTTGTGCTAGGAAGCAGCTACGGTTTAGAAATCGTTCCCGTGGGTGTCAGAAAGCTAACCCTGTCTCTTTTAAGAGGGGAAACTGAGGTACAGAGGCATTCCCTTGTTGGGGCAGGGCGGAGTCCAGCCTGTTTTTGTTTCCTTTTTGTGGAAAAAGTCTTTAGGTTTGAATTCAAGCCTGATTCCAGACGATCTGAATAGTGTAAACCCCGGGGCGTGCTTACAGCCCTTGGTGCGGGTTCGTCCTCTTCTCCATTCTACTGAGGGGATGTTGAGGTTGCCTAAGGTGGCACAGCGTGTGCTGGGACCAGGTTGGGACCTGGCTGGGCCACAGGGGCTGCGCAGAGGTCCTGACCCCTCGCTCTCTGTCCCCAGTTTCACCTGGAGCGACTCCCGCCTGCACCGTGGCCTGGTCATCCTGCTGACTGGGGAGATCACTGACGCTTTCAGCCAAGAGTTCCGGACACTGTATGCGACCTCCTGTCCACTTCCGCCTCCGCCCACCCCAGGCCCCTTCATCAGCACCCTGGGGGGGCTGCAGCTGTCCCAAAGCCCACACCGCGTGGCCCGCCGCTGCTCTGTGGCCCCACCACAGTGGACTTACAGGGCACTGGCCCAGCACCTAGCCATCTGCACATTGGAGGGGGACAGGCAGGAGACTCGGTCCACCCCAGGACTAGCACTCAGCGACATCCTGAGGAAAACGGAGCATGCCCGGCCCACCAGTGGCCTCCCTGACCGGCCCAGCTGCTCCCTGTGGGACCTGAGCCGCCTGTCGGACTCCAGTGATGATGACAACCATGAGGTGAGACCTGGAGAGCAGAAGGGCTTGGAGCCCCAGAAGGGCAGGGAGCCGGCGTGGGGCCTGGACGCTGAGATCCCAGCGCAGGAAGTGTCTTCTGTGTGTCCAGCCGTCGGGGGTGGGGAAAGCAAAACAGCTAATTGCATGATCCATTTCCCATGGCCCTTCTGTGTGTAGGGCTGGGCAGAGGCCCCAGAGCCCTGGGGGTGTGCTGACAGCTGTGTCTGCGGTGAGCACCCAGGGGCAAGGACTCTCCTAGAACGTGTTCTCATGTGACATGGGCTGAGCAACTTTCCTGTCCCAGTTTTTTTTGTTGGGAGCAGACTCAGTAGGGAAGGACGCAGCATCATGCCATGCTTATTTCTTTGTATGTCACTACATCCCCATTGCCCCAGGTCAGTGAGGCAATCCTCTTACCACTCTCATTTGCACAGATGGGAAAGCCCAGGCCAGAGAGGTCAAGTAACTTGTCCAAGGTTGAGCAGCAATCTTTTGAGGGCACCTTGCCGGTGCCAGTGCTTATGTGAAGTGAGGTAGTGGAATCTAACTTTTTTTTAAAAAATCTTTATTTTTTAAAGATTTATTTATGCATATAAAAAGTGGGGTGTAGGCCAGAGGTATGGGGGGGGGGTCAGAGGATTCACCAGAGACAGTGGGGAGCAGAACAGGCAGATGTACTGAAATACACTGCTGAGGGGAGCAGTGGGCTGGTCAGGAGAGGTCTGCTGTGCCATGTGGGTCCACCCCAGGCTGGGGATCGGACTTGTGCTGCAGTGACTGCAGATTGCTTCATAGTGCTGTGCTTTAACCCACTGCGCCACCAGGGAGGGTCCTAAAATCCAACTTTTGCCCCCAGCCCAGGGTGTTGCTGTAACTTTTTACCTACCCACTTTACAGATGGGGAAATGGAGGCACTGGGAAACTGGGAAGGAATTAGCACTCTGACCTAGGCGGGGCTTTTAAATATTCTTTTCACTGACTGCCTGGATTCCAGTGTTGGGGTTGTGGAGTGGTTGTGGGGGGGTCAGTGGGGTCTCTGCCAGCAGTGCCTGCCCAGTTCCCTGGCCTGTGTCCTCAGCTATGAAGCAGGTTATTGAAAGTGTGAGCAGAGGCTGGTAGGAGGAACAGACGGATTCACTGGGAGGCAGGCAGACCTGTCAGGCCCTCTGTACGCAGTGCCTCACAGCCTCAGTTTCCCCATCTGCTATGCGGAGGCTGGAGGCCTCTCTGGGGGAAGGGGGCAGTGAAGGAGATATGTCCCAGGACTTGTCTTCAGCCCCAGTCCATGGAGGGGAGGGAGGCCAGGTGGGGCAGGAGCCAAGGTCTCGCTCCCACCTGGTCTCCAGCTGCCCTCACCCATCCTCCTTTCCCTTGGCAAATATTTGCTCTCCTCCCCCCACACCTTCCTGCTGCTTCCTATTCCCAACTGCAAAGCTGCAGAGGCCAGATAGCTCCTTACCCCTTCTGTCGTTCTGGGGGTTCCTTCCTTCAGTTTTCTACCGCCAGTCCTCCTTTACCGTTCTTCCTTTAACACGGTCCCCTGGGAGTTTGTCACCTCCCTTTCTTTCCCTCTGCAGCTCAGGAAGTTCTGGGGCTCCAAGGACACCCCAGCCAAGGCCCTGATGAGGCAACGGGGCACTGGAGGAAGCCCCTGGGGTGAGGCGGACTCCCGCTCTCTGTCCTGGGCTCAGCCCTGTGGCGGCCTGCTCTCCCAAACACCTACTGGCCGCCAGCTCTACCTGTCGCCCACCCGGAAGAGGTTTGGTGAAGATGCTGCATCCAAACTCCTATAACCCAGAGGCATCCAGCATCTGGACTGGACACCCTGTGCAGGACTTTGGGGGCCACGCTGACCAGCCCCCCAGTGAGGATTCCAGGACAAGCCAGGTCTGAGCTCCCCACCCCCTTGCTCTTGTGACTTGGCCAAGGTTTCTGCAGTCAGGGCAGGGGAAATTTTCCCAACTTGACCTAAAACTTGGGACAATCCACTTCCGCCCTCAGGGTCACTGTGTAGAGCAGTGTACATCTCATCAAGCCTGCTCCACACTTTCCTGCTGGCCACCTGGCTGAGTGGACCCCCCTGCAGGGATGACATATGGGGGTCCTTCTGCACCCACATGCTCAGTGTGGGTAAACTGAACCTGGCCAGAGAGAGGAGACACCCCAGTTGTGCTGGGAAGGCTGAGTAGTGAGGGACTGGAAATGTGTGGGGACACAGAGGGACTCCTGGGTCAGTGTGGTGTTTTGTTGGGGTTCCTTTTTACTTCTGCTCAAAAATAAACAGCTTCATCTTCATGCCACCATCTTCATGCTTTCCACAGCCTAATGACACATGACACCCAGGGGCTGGGGGCTTCCCAGGCCACCCTCTCCCAGAACCCAGGAGTTGGGGCACAGCCTCCTGGAAGGGGGGGCCAAGGGCCCAGCGCTGGCCTGCCTGCAGCACCTTTGTCTCTGGGTGGGGCTTCTGAGTCACAGAGCCCCTTGGCATGCCAGGTGAGGAAGCGGACCTCGCCCTCCAGAGCCTGGGTGGCCCTCCGGGGCCACGCCCATCCCCTCCCAGCCCCCTACCCTGCACATCAAGGAGTGGGGCTGGAGAGAAGCGTTTATTGTCAGGGTCACGGGTGGGGGGGATCTGAGGCCCCGCCGGGGCCGGGGCCGGGGCCGGGGCTGGGGTCGGGTTCCGGGCTGGTGTCGGGCTCCGGGCTGGTGTCGGGCTCCGGGCTGGTGTCCTCAGAGGCCACGTCCCAGGGGAAGGTCGGCAGCCCCTGCATCTGCTCACGGTAGACTCGGTCGAAGGCTTCGCTCTGCGCCACTGTGAAGTGGTTCTTCCAGTCACCACAGACCCCTGCAGGGGAGAAGGAAGGGCAGGGTTTGGAGGGTGTGTGGGTGGGAGGGGACCTTCCCCTGGCCTGCAAGGGGGAACTCCTGCCCCCAGCACCTAGACGCCCTCTTCACAGCCCCCCTTCCCGTGGTGCCCTCTGGCCTCCCCAGGTCCCTCTCCTCTCACAACCACCATCGCACCCCTCCTGTCCCCTGGCCAGGCTGGGGGCTCCATTCTTGCTCCCTGGTTGCCCTGCCCTGCTCCAGCAGCCCCCCAGCTGCCTGCGCGACCTTCCTGGGATTAGCCCCTGGAACCCCAGGGCACCAGTCTCGCCACCCAGCATTCAGGCACAGGCTTCACAGCTCCACACCACTTAGGCCACCTGTCCCTCACCTCTTGAGCCAGCACGCCCTGTTATCACCTCCACTACTGCTCTGACATTGGCATGGGTGCCAGGCATTGCCCTCAGGCTTGCCCTGGGGTCACTAGCTCAGAGCAGGCGAGCAGGCCAGGGGCTTGGACTGCTCCCCATGTGGGAGCGGGCGTGGGGTGAGGACTGGATCCCTCTCCGACCCCGCCTTCGGTTTTCCTTTTATTTCCAGCCTCAGATTTCTTATCTTGGGCGCCACCCGGGAAACGGCCCTTTTCCTGAGCTCCCAGGGCCAGTATCCGTTGGACCCCCCTACTTTCGATTTTCACAGCAGCACAGGTCACTCCCTCAGGAAGATCACCCCGAGGGAGGCTGAACAGTGACACCCTGCCCCCAGAAGCCCCATCTCTCTGAGTCTGTGAACACATGAGCGTTTATGGCAAAAACCATGCATGTGATTGCGACTGTGATCAAGGATCTCACGGTGGGAAAATGATCCTGTTGGACCCAATTTAATCACAACCGTCCTCACAAGAGCAGGTGCGGGAATGGGGGGCCAGTCAGGGCGCGGCCGCCCGCACGGAAGGTGGAGAAGGGGCCTGCAGCCCAGGAGCGCGGAGGGCCTGGAAACTCAGATGGCAGGAGACGGGGTCTCCTGAGAGCCCCCCAAGGGGCATGTTCCCACTGCAGTGATTTCAGCCCCGTGAGGCCGGGGCGGGTCTCCTGACCTTAGCGCCATCAGAAAATAAAATGTGCGCAGCTTTACGCCACGGAGTTGGTATTCTGTCTTTGGTCTCACCTGACACATATTTCTGGGGTGAGGAGGAATGCTAGGAAGGAATCTCAAAGATTCCAAACAGCCTCCTGGTGGTTTGGAGACTCTGGCCGCACACGGGCGTGTCTGTGTAGGCTCTGGCCGGGGGAGGGCAGGGACACCGCAGCACCTGCTGGCAGCCAGCCCGAGGGGCAGCCCGGCCACGGTGCGCTGGGCAGCTTGTTCTATGCAGAGCACCCCCATGCGGCAGCTGGGCAAGTGGAGGCCCCGAGAGGTTAAGTGACTTGCACAAGCCACACAGCTGTGAACCCCTGGACTGCGGCACCTTTCCGGAGGAAGGTTCCCTGGCGTTGGTCCAGCAGGCTCGGGGGCAGCAGCGTGTAGTTGGACATCGTGTTGGCCTTCATGGCCCCGAAGGCTGAGTGGGCCATGACAGAGCCCAGGGCCTCCTCATCCAGCGGCCGGTCCAGGAACTGGCAGATGCGCTGCAAGGAGCTGTGGAGATCCTGGGAGCAAGGAGATGGTCAGCGGAGGAGGGGCCCTTTGAGAAGGAGCACCAGACCCAAGTCTGGACGTCCGAGTCAACCCGGACCTATCTGGGTGACCGCCTCTCTGCCTCAGTTTCCCCAACCTCTAAGCCAATGACTTAGACTGTGACTTGTGAGGATTTTGCAATTTGGGGTTCCACAGGTGGGAGGGAAGAGCAAGGTTAGGTCAGAGGTCACAGCAGGGGACAGAGGTAGGTAGAATCATAGGCAGGGAGGTAGAATCCCACCCCCCCAGCCCCCAGGGCATCAGTCAGCTGTGGCACAAACCTGCTCCTCTCCCAGGCCCCTGGCCCAGCCTCCAGCCTGGCTTTCTCCCTTCCCCAGCCCCTCACATCCTGCCCATCACCCTGCCTGCCCTTCCCTGCCCCCTCCTCTGTGTGCACAGCCCAGGTGCTGGTCCCTTGCACCTCTCCCGCCTGGGCCCTTGCACCAGCCTCCTCCCCAGCTCCTCACCGGCCTCCCCTTTCTCTGGCCCTGCAGCCCTCCCCCATAGGCAGCGAAAACCACGGAATCTCCCACGTGACTCCTGCTGCCCCTTCCCCCGTACTCAGCAGGAGTCCCAGCTCCCAGACCAGGCTTTCAAGGCCAGTAAGGTCTGATCCTCTCTTCCCGGCCCCTCCTCCACCCTCTCCCCTGTAGGGCTCCCATGCCCTGCCCTGCCCTGCCCTCCCAGCGGGCCTTGATGACCCTTCTCCACCTCATCAGGATGACAGGTGAAGGTCACCGGCACTGTGGGCTGAGTGCCTACTGTGTGCCAAGCGCTGGCCCAAGCTCCCCACTCCCCACATTGTACCAACCCTACTAAAAGGCTTGCAGTGAGACAGCCTTGTGCTAAATGGTCCACAGAGGGCCAGACAGGGCAAGACAGCTGTCTAGGATCACACAGGCAGGGAGGAGCTCACACCCTGATGTGAGCTCCTGCCTCGCCTGACATAACCATAACCAGCTGTGTCGTCAGCTCCCCAACCCCGTGGTCCAATTTTCCAGGTCACCCTAGTTTCGTAATTCTCTACTCCTTTATCCTCTTGAACCACTGACGTGTCCCAGAAATCTGAACATGTTGGCAGTTCCTCACACCCAGGGGCAGCCTAGAAGCTCTGTCAGGTTGCCTGGCCCAGTTTTGGGTCTGGAGAATAAAGCTGGGCTGCAAAGAGGGAGGAGGGGGAGGCCAGAGCCTTTTCTGGATCTTTCCAGATAAAGAAATGTACCAGAGTGGGGGGAAAAAAGAACCCACTGTGGGACCTGGGTGAGCGTGAAGAGCTGCGTGCTTCAGGCGACTCCTCGCTCTTTCCTGGTGCTATGAGCCCCCAACTCCTTCCTCTCTAAAATGGGGTCATAACAACATGGGGTGCAAACCACATGAAACTACCATTTTTTTGTTATAGTTCAAAACTGGCCATTTCCTGAGCATGTAGCTCACTGTGGGTACTTTGTGTGGATTAAGAGAGAGAATACGTAGGCCCCCTTGGGTGCCTGGCTTGTCAGCCTTCTGGGAACCTTCGCTATTCTTGTCCTTGTAGCCAGGTCTTGCTTACTGGGCCCTGGACAGAACACACAGCCCAGGCGGCCCCCTCATGCCCCACCCAGCCAAGGGGAGCAGTGGGCTGTCCCACCTGGTCCCCCCAGCAAGTCCCCTGCGTGACGTGGGCACCACACCAGATCACCTCAGGGCTCGCTTCTCTGGCCGCATTCCCGTGGTGTAGCGACGCGTGACTTCTAGCCAGACAGATCCTGGCTTCAAAGTGGATTGTTCACTTTACACAGTGTCAGATGGTCACGACATGCCAGTGCCAGATAGCCTGACAGCCACCCTAGAAGCCAATTTAGGATTTGTCATCTGGGACTCTGGGAGACCTGAAGAGGTTATTAACTGCTTTCTTTGGGCACCAAAATCCAGGCTCTTTCTATAAGGAAAGGGGCACAGAAACGGACGACGCGCACACACGGAATGGACCTGTGCCGGGATGTGAGGGAACTGTGTCAGGGTTCTCCTAGCTCCCTGCCTCCCGGAACAGAGCTCCCTTAAGAACCTAGAATGGGTGGGCGTATTCCATTGGGTTTTTCCAATGGAAAAAACCCAGTCTTTCTGGGTTTTTCCAGAAACCCAGTCTTTATAGCCAGGAAAAGCCAGAGGCCTTGGCAAGGCCCCTTCTTCCACAGAGCTTTCCCTGATGGCCCAGCTTGAAGCTCTCCAAAGACGGCTCCCTTTCCCTCGGACCTCTAGTAAGGCCAGACTGAGTCTCCATCTAACACCAAGGCTGTTTCCCTCCACGCTTCCCCTGCCCTTCTGTTCATGGTTATCACTGATGTGCACCACTTGGCAGGGTCTCAGTGATCTTACCACTCCCCTTCCCTGAACCCACTCCGGGCTCCCACCTACTCAGAGAAAATTCCAGCTCCTCCCGGTGGCTCCCTACCCTCATTTCTCACTTCTACCCCTAGGCGCTGGCTCTGGGCTCCCCTGAAGCACACTGAGTTCGTTCTCACCACAGGGCCTTTGCACGGCTGTCTCCTGGAGTCCTCTCTGCCAGGCACCCTGTGTGGTGCCCTCTCGCCTTCGGGTTTTGGCCTACGCGTTACTTCTTCCTGGGGGCCTCTCCCCTGACCACCCCACTGAAATTTGCCCCCACATACATTCCTTGTCCTCCTTTTCTCCTCCCCCTTTCCCTCTGGCTTTGTGGACCAGCTGTGCTCTGCTTTTATTGTTTCGTCTTTGGTCCATCTGCCGCTCAGAGCTCAAGCATCTGTTCTGTTGAGAACCAGGTTTGCTGGGTAGTGGAGTGGCCAGATGGGGAGGGGAGAGAAGGGTGTGAGCGGGCAGGGAGACTGAGAGACACAGGCAGAGTGGGGGTGGGAGTCACCTGCTTCAGCTCCTCGTAAGTGATGAACAGGAAGTTCTCTTTGCCCTGCATCCGAATCCAGCCCTTTATGTGGTCGAACCAGGAGCCAAACTGCACTGTGGGCAGAGGGGCAGGAGGTGAGGGCTGGGCTTCAGAGGGCTAGCCACTCCCCTCCTCCCCGGCCTGGCCCCCACAGTGGAACACCTCCCCTCAAGCCCCAGTGTCCCTGTCTCCCTGTATCTCTCTCTTCCTGCCTGTGTCCTGTTATTTTTTGTATCTGTCTCTTATCCTGTCTCTGTGCCTTCCACTCTGTTTGTGTCATTCTGCCTCTGTCTCTCTCTGTCTCTGGTTCTCATTCTCTAAACTTCAGCTCTATCGTTCTTTCTGTCTCTGTGTGTCTCGCCCTCTGTCTCTGTGTCATCCCTGTCTTTTTTTTTAAGATTTATTTACTTATGCATACAGAACAGAGGCACAGGGGGAGTGAGGAGTCACCACAGACAGAGTGGGGAGCAGAACAGGCAGACTGACTGAAATCCACTGCTGAGGGGAGCAGCTGGGAGACAGGAGTGGTCTGCTGTGCCCTGGGGGTCACGCCCTCCCTGGTCAGGGGTCAGACTGGCGGTGCAGTGGCTGTGGAGAGCTTCATAGTGCTGAGACTTAATCCCTGCGCCACCAGGGAGGCTGGTCTCTTTAACACTGTCCCTCTGTCTGTCTCCATGTCTCTCCTTCCTGTCTCTCGTCTCTGTGACACTCAGCTCCCGCGTCTGTCCACCTCCATTTAGTCCTCCGTGTTCCTCTCTTTCGGCAGATCTGGAATACCATCATTGAATGCGACAAGAAAAAGAAAACCCTTGCTTGTCAGCATTGAGCAAAACATTGCTACTCAAGGACCTGGCTTCCTTACACATCCTTTCACTTAAAGTCGCAGTTTTAAAGAGTCTTTAGATGCCCTGAAGTGAGGACTAACTGCATTTCTTTCTCAGTACTTAAACTGTCTTTCTGTCTCTATTATCCTCTCTCTGTTTCCTTTTCTCTGTCCCTTGTTACTCTGTGTCTCTCACCACTCTCCGCTTCCTTCTCAGGAGCTCTCTCTCCCCATTTCTCTATCTCTCATTGTCTGCTTCTGTCCATGTCCTGGTCTTTCCCTTGGTCTCTCGCTGGATTTCCATCCTCTGCCATACAATGCCAGTCACTCTGCTTTTCCCCTCCTCCTCACCCCTCCTGTCCCTACTCCCATCTGAGTCTGCTAGGAGCCCCTCCCCCACCCCGCACTTTGCCCCAGTCCTCACCTTCGCCTTTGAGGAAGTTCTGCAGGAACTGGTCAGGTGTACCAGGATTCTTCAAATGCCCAGCAATCTTGGAATAATGATAGAGTGAGACCACCACATCCCGGGGGTTCCGGCTCACGTAGATCACCTGCGTGTGGATGTTGGGGAAGGGAAAAAGGTATCAGGCATGGACAAGACCCCGGCTCTTGAGGTTATATGCTCTCGAACCCCCTCTCTGGTCCTGCAGCAGGAAGGACTGAGGGTAGACTTCTCAAGGGACTTCCTAGTAACAGAAATGCAGATCAGTTCACCTCAACCCCAAGGACCTTCTAACACATTCTAGGAAGCGGGTGGGAGTGTTTCGGGGCCAGGTGGAGGGTCAGGTGGAGGGTCAGTTAGGGAACAGAGTGCGGAAGAGAGACCTGGGCTTCAGTATGGGAGAGATCCAGGCACGAGCTACTGACCCAGAGAGAAGCGAAGCCAGCCCTTCCTTCCCTGTCCCCCAGCTGAGGTTCTGGCCTCGTTTCCTCCTCCCTGGCCTCCCAACCTCCACAGGTCCTCAGAGGGTCTTTACAGACCCCGAGCTGACCCTCCTATCTTTGGTTCTCCAGTGCCCCAAGATGTAGCCCCAGCCCCTGGATCTGGCACTCATGGACCCAGTTAATCACCACCATTCTGTTTACTGGTTTCACATTCCACAACCAAGTCCACTCCAGCCTCATCAGGTACTTCCTTCCCTAGCAACCTTCTCCATGCCCAAGACTGAAGTCAGCCACCTGGGCAGTCAGCCACGTCTCCGTGACCAACCTCCGACAAAACCCCAGACAGGGAGGTTTGGATAAGCTTCTCTGGCCAACAATGCTATGTGCGTGCTGTCGTACATCACTGACTGGGAGACTGAAGGGACCCCATGGGGAGAGACAACTGTCACGGACTCTCACTGGGTCTCCCCTGGACTCTGCCCATGCTCTCTGCCTTGGTTGCCTTTGATCTAGCACTTTCTGATTTCAAAATACATTATAAGGCTACAGTGAGTTTATCATTTTCTGGGTTTCCCCAGGTCTTTGCCTACTGCATCCTTGAGCCTGAGGGCAGGCTTGAGGCCCTCTCAGATTACAGTCCCCATCTCCTCTCCATTTATACTCACTTCCTTTGTCCTCCATTCTCCTGGCTTTAATTACTCTCTCCCCACCCCTTTCTTACCCTTGCATACAGGTGTGTAAGGTAAAACTGCCTAGTTCTGACCAAGGAGCTTTCTGGTCGTGGTAACAATATCATGCAGTCCTAGCCACAGAGCCACAGCTACGATGCTGGCCCCTTCGACATCTTAGGTGTGTGGTGGGTCTAGCAGCTGTTTGTGTAACTACGCTCTAGGACACTCACAGGAGAAAAACACCACTAGTGATGCATTTCTCAGAGGATATCCCCGTGAAGTGACTTGTGACTGTCTAGAGCCACAGATCATCGGCAGGTGGGGCCGGCCCAGAGCTCTCCTGTCAAATCCAGAGTTGTCTACCTCACTGCCCACTGGCAACCTCCACTTGGACTTGGAGGGACCACAGCGCAGACCCCCATCTCCACCCAACCTGCTCCTCCAAGTTTTTGCCATCTCAGTCAATGGCAGCCCCAGCCTCACAGGCACTTCAGGCAACCTTGACTCATCTCTCACACCCACATCCAATTTTGTCAGTAAACCCTCCTCTTTCCATGTTCAAAGTACACTGAAATCCAGCAATTCTTCCTCACCTCCATGACCATGGCCCTGGTTCGGCTCCCAGGTTCACAGGCTTCTCTCCTCTCTGGATGGTGGCAGTTAAGGAGTCCAAGGGTCTGTTCCTCACCTTGCAGCCAGAGGGCACTCTTGCCTGCCCCACCACCTGCTTCACTCACAAAGTCCCCACCTGTAGAAGCCGCCCTGCACCTTTTGAACCCTCTCTGACCTCATATCCATTACCCTTCCCCTCATTCACTTGGATAAAGCCACAATGCACCCCAGGGCCTTTGCACCTGCTCTTCCTGCTGCTCGGAATATTCTTCCCTCAAACCCCCAGGCTCCTTCCTTCACCTCCATGTCTTTATTTGGCTGATTCAGGGGCTATAAGCAAATTTGTAATGACACCTTCCCACGAGCCCTCCCTTGATTGTTTTATTTGTCATCACTCACACTAGCTAACTGTCCCCAACCCTCTCCTTCCTGGTGAATTTATCACCTTGGACACAGTAAATATTTTTCCTTATGTATTCTATTTTCTGTTTTTCCCCCCTTTAAAACATGAATTTATGGGGCAGGTATTTTTGTGTTTACTTAGTATGGTTATAGATCTGGGCCAAGCAGATAGTAGGTGTTCAATAAACATGTGCTGAATTAATCCATCCTTATGTTCCCTCCCCAAATCTGCCCCATTCCCTCCTTTACCTTAGCCTTGGATTTGAAGAAAGACTTGGTGAAGAGCTGGATGGGGAGGTGGGAACTCATGAGGCGGGGACCAGCGGGGTCCAGGATTCTGAAGGCGCTCTCCACCGTCTCACACCAGGGTGCCCGCTCCCAGATGGGCACAGAGCGGACCCAAGAGGGATCCCCATTCTTTAGGATTAAGCAGAGGATCTCAATCATCCAGTTGGTGCCTATAGGGAGAAATGGGGCAAGTTAATCAGAGGTGGGGAGACGAACAGGGGACTATAATCAGATCTGTAAAGAACTGCACTATGGCATAATTGGCTACATACAGTTATTGGCCTCTTCACGACAGGGGCGCTCTGAGAGATGTGGTTAGGCAACCCCATGGTCACTTCAGAGAGCCTAACTGCATGGCCCTAGGCAGGGCCACAGCTGGGCGGATGGTACCCCCGCCGGCCGACACTGACTTTAAGGGACAGCAGCACCAGCGAGTCACGGCGCAGGTTCCCAGTGATCACGACAGACGGAAAAGGCAAAAGGCGGCGTCCTGGCGCCCTCAGCTGCTTTTCGGGCTTTTATCTTTCTACCCCGCGGCGTGTGGTGCGGCCACCAGGCACGGGGGGAGGCAGGGAGGCTGGAGGCTGGGAGGCCGGCGGGCTTTCTGGCTGGGCTCTCTGGCCTGCTCTGGTGAGCGCTGTGGCACCTGGCCGCAAGTCCTCCTCCCCGGCTCTGCGTGCGCTCTGACCACGCGCTCTGATCATGCGCTCTGCGCCCCGCCTCCCTCACATGCTCGTCTCTGCGCAGGCGCGCCCACTCACGCATGCGCACAGCCTACTCCGGCTGCCTCCAGTGGGCACGTGCGCAAGACCGCTGGTGTGCATCGTTGACGCAAAGGCAGGGTAAGGGGGTGCGCAAAACACTCGACCACTTCCGTGTCCCCTCCAGTGACACATGACTCGGTTACACGGATTCCTCACAACCGGCCGAGAAGATAGGGTTAATTAGCCCTAATTTCAGAGCAGGAAATTGAGGCTCAAAAAGACGAATGGCACTAGGATGGCAGAGCTGGGGAGGGGCGTGTGTGGAGACCGGCTGGCAGTCGCTCCAAGCCGGGGCATTTTCCGACCTGGCATATGCTACGTTTGTGGGATCAGTGGCTGAGGTCCGGTGGGCAGTGTGGGTGGGAGCAGGTGCAGCTGCTTCCGGACTGGCCCAGAAACACATCCCACGGGGCCGCATCCTCGCCTCCTCCATCCAGGGGGGTCTGATGTAGACTCCAGGGAGATGCCTGTCCTGAGGGTGGCAGAGCCACAGGCTGAAGGAGGTAGGGTGCCGGAGACTGTATGGGTTTCCTCCACTTTCCTCCATGCACTCACTAATTGCAGTTTACAGGAGGAAGAAATAAACAGGTGGATTAAACTACAGAGATGCTGAGGCTTTGGCATTCAAACAACCAGCACGCCGAGAACACACGGAAGATGCTGGAAGCGAATCCAGGTGTCTGGACTTCAAATTTCAGCTCTTTTCATCTCCCCTTCTGGGAGTAAACCCTTAATTTCTGGGGAGCCACAGACCATCACATAGCAGGAAGGGTTTTGCCAACCACCCAGCTCATAGGTGCAGATTCCAGGAGTCTACAGGCAGGTCAGATGAGGAGAATTATAATGTTCACACCCCATTGCTATGTGTGTTGTAGTCTAACAATGGCCCTGTCCACTTCTCAGTGTACTGTCTCCTGGCTCCAAAGCCACTGCTTTTCTTGTTTGTCCCTTTGGAGTTGGACCCCCTTTGCCAGCTAGCTCAGCGCTTAGCTCTGGCAAAAGATGGCACCCGAGGTAACCTGCCAGAGGATGGGGCCCCCTCCCTGCCTCTGGTAGGCTTCTCTCAACTGAATCTGGTCACCGATGGCAGCCAGCAGTGCCCAGTGACACATGATTATTCCCAGCCAAAGTCCTGGGCGCTCTCTGTAGTCCCATACAGAGCGAGTGCGCCTGTTTGACTTTGCCTTTATTCACTGCAGTTCTCCCTTTCTGGTGGTCTGATCCTCTCACTAGTTAATAATATATTATTTATTTATTTATGCACACAGGATCTAGGGTACAGGCCAGAGGTGTAGGGGAGGGATGAGAAGATTCACCAGAGCCAGAGTGGGGAGCAGAACAGACGGCTCCACTGAAGTACACTGCTGAGGGGAGCAGCGGGCGGGTCAGGAGAGGTCGATTGTGCCCTGTGGGTCACATCCCTAGTTGGGGATTGAACTCGTGCTGCAGTGGCTGCGGATGTCTTCATAGTGCTGCACTTGAACCCTTTGCACCACCAGGGAGGCCCCTAGCTTTTTTTTTTTTAAAGATTTTAAAACTATTTATGCCAGAGGTGTGGGGGTCAGAGGACTCACTAGACTACTATAGATACACCATTTTTGCATCTTGGTTTCATTTTTTTTTCCTTTTTCCTTATATTGTGACATCTCATCTTAGTACTGTAAGTAGTTTATTTATTTACAAATACGTTTTGATCTTTGCCAGCTCAAAGGTGAAAAGGTATTGCTTTCATTTAGACTTCTATTGTTACCGGTGAAGTTGAGCACATTTTTAGATTCTTGAAGAACTAAGTTTCTTGGAGGGAGTGAAGGAGAGATGCTGAGTGTCCTCAATTCATTGTCTCTTTATGCCAGAGTTGAGGTTTTACGATTTTTTTTACATCATAATAGGACAGGTTACCAGGGAAAGAAGAAAAAGAGAGGGACCTACGTCGTCTCAGGAAGGCAGGAAAGTTGCAGAATTTTAAGATTTAACTGGGCGTGTTAGAATCCAGCCAGAGACTCTATCCCCAAGACTTCTTTGCAGCAAAGTGTGGTGATAAAATGTCATAATCATGTATGATAAGGTCTGCCCAAAGAGATCTCAAATTAAGACATCGACTAGAATAGACAGATTCACTTTGTGATATAATTTTTTAAAAATAGACGTGGAAAAACTATTATGAACAGTGTTCATAATCAGTTTAGAAAACTAATATTATCTAGAGAAACTTATTTACAAGTCAATACACACACACACACACACACACACTGAGGGTTAAGTTTACTAATATGTAAGAGTTCTATGAGTACCAGTAAATGACCAGCAAATCAGTAGGGAGGGAAAAGGACCAGGGCAAACAACAAACAGGCTATAAGGAAGGTAATATAAGTAGTTCTTTAAGAATCTAAGAACTTGGCCCTCCCTGGTGGCGCAGCGGGTTAAAGCACAGCACTAAGAAGCACTAAGAACTCATACTTCCGCATGAGTTCGATCCCCGCCTGCCACGGAGGAGACCACATGGCGCGGCAGACCTCTCCTGACCCGCCCGCTGCTCCCCTCAGCAGTGTACTTTGTCGATCTGCCTGTTCTGCTCCCTGCTCTGTCTCTGGTGAATCCTCTCACCCTCCGCATCTCTGGCCTGCATCCCAGTTCTGTATGAATAAATAAATCTTAAAAAAAAAAGGAATCTAAGAACTTGCTCAACCTCACCAGTAATAACAGAAGTATAAATGAAAGCAATACCAAAGTTATGTTTTCCACCTTTTTGCTGGCAAAGACCAAAAAGTCTTTGTAAATAAAGAAACTATTCACAGTGCTAAGAAGAGATGATGTTACAATATAAGGAAAAAGAAAAAAAAAAAAAAAACTAAACCAAGATGAAAAAATGATGTGTCTACAGAGCCAACTTTTGTGAGAGGAAATTAAAAAATATATTAATGTACATTTCTGTTGTACATGCAGATTCTGGGAGGACATACAGCACTGTTGGTGGCTGCAAAAATAGACCTTTCCATATAAACCTTTTTTACCTCTTGAATGTTGACCTATGAATTCATTCTTTTAAAAGAGAAATTAGGCCCTCCCTGGTGGCACAGCGGGTTAAAGCACAGCACTGAGAATCTAAAGCCGCTTCCGCATGAGTTCGATGCCGCCTTCCCTGAGGAGATCCATATGGTGCGGCAGACCTCTCCTGACCCGCCCGCTGCTCCCCTCAGCATTGTACTTCGTCGATCTGCCTGTTCTGTTCCCTTCTCTGTCTCTGGTGAAGCCTCTCACCGCCCCTGAGCCTCTGGCCTGTACCCCAGTTCTGTATGCACAAATAAATAAATCTTTAAAAAAAGAGAGAGAGAAATTAATATATTTTAATTTAAAAGAGAAGTTAGAATAACTAGACATCCATGCAAAGCATCTCAACCTATTTATAAAAATTAGCTCAACATTGCTCCGATTTAAATATAAAATCTAAAACTAGAAACTTTCTAGAGGAAAACACAAGGGTACATTTTTTGGTAACCCTGGATTAGGCAAAGATTTCTTACATGTGACATCAAAAGTCTGATCCATTAAAGAAGAAACTGACAGGTTAGATTTCATGAAAATTAAAAATATACACTTTCAGAAGACACTTAAAAAGTGAATGAAGGAGGCCTGCCCTGTTGGTACAGTGGGTTAAAGTGCAGCACCATGAAGCTATCGGCAACCACTGAAACATGAGTTCATTCCCCGGCCAGGGAGGTGACCCACTTGGCGCGGCTGACCTCTTCTTCCTGCCTGCTGCCCCCCTCAGCAGTGTGCCTCTTCACTCTGCCTGTTCTTCCCCCAACTCTGTCTCTAGTAAATCCTACCACCCCTGCACCTCTGAATGCATAAATAAATCTTAAAAAACAAAAAAAGTGAATGAAGGCCTCCCTGCTACTGCAGGGGTTAAGTCTCAATGTTACCAAGCTATCACTAGCCACTGCAACATGAGTGATACCTGGCCAGGGAGCTGACCCAAGACCTCTCTTGTGTCCCCACAGCTCCCCTCAGCAGTGTATTTCAGTAGCTCCACCTGTTTTGCTCCTTACTGTGTCTCCAGTGAGTCCTTTCACCCCTCACACCTCCTGCTTACACCTCAGTTCTTGTATACATACATAAATATTTTTTTAAAAAAGTGAATGAAAAGGCAAGCCACAGCTTGGGAGAAAATGTTCATAGACTGATGAAGGGTTTGTACTCCAGTGATACTTAAAATTCAATAAAATTGAATAAATTCTAAATGTTCAATAATATGAAAACAACTTGGCTAAAAAAAGGGGGGACACTGAACAGCCACTTTATGGAAGAAGATACATATGATGGCTTATGAGTACCTGAAAATATGCCCAGCATCATTAATCATTAGGAAAATGCAAATTCAAACCACAAGGAGATACCAGTCTAACCTGTTACTATGGCTTAAAGAAAACATCCAACAATATCAAGTGGTGACAAGGAAGTCGAACAACTGGAGCTCACCTACACTGCTGGTGGGAATGCAAAATGGGAAAGCCACTTTGGAAAAACAGTTTGGCATTTTCTCATAAAGTTAAACATACACACTTCCCACTGACACAGCAATCCCACATCTCAGTTTTTATCCAAGATAAACAAAAGCACATTTCCATGCAAAGATGTGTACACAAAGCTTCATAACAGCTGTGTTCATACTCACCCCACACTGGAAACAACCCAAAGCTTTTTCAACAGACGAATGGGTAAACCAACGATGGTTCATCTGCACAATGGGATATTCTTCAGCAATTAAACACACACACACTTGGCACACACACATCTTGGATGAATCTGAAGTGCATTATGCTGAAGTCAATTTCGAAGCCTCTGTATGGTATGGCTCCATCTATGTGACATCCCAGAAAAGGCTGAACTAGGGGCTGGGAGTGTGGGAGAATCTTACTACAAAAGGATGTAAGGGGAGTTTTTCATGATGATAAAACAGTTCTATATCTTGATTGTGGTGGTGCTTATTTGGCCATCTGTTAAAACTCTACAGAACTCAAAGAGAAAACATTGCCTAAATAGGGCACATTCTAAGAAACATGCTTGTAAAAGCCAAAGAGTACAAACAACCCAGATGTTTACCAACTGACAAATGGATAAACACAATAGGTCTTTCCAGACTAGAAGTATTATTTGGTTAGAAAGAGGAACGAAGCACTGATCCAGGCTACAGTATGGGTGAAGCTTGAAACCGTGATACTAATTGAAACAGACCAGAAAGACAATACCACACATTATGTGATTCCATTGATGAGAAATATTCAGAATGGAGGGATTTGCAGAGATAAAAAAGCAGATTAATGATTGTCCAAGATTGCGAGAAGTGGAGACTGGCAGTTGAAGGCAAATGGGTACTGGGCTTCTTGTAGGAGTGATGAAAAAGTTCTAAACTTGATTGTGGTATGGTTGCACAACTGTGGGTAAACCCCAACTGTAGAATTACACACTTTAAAATGGGTGAGTTGTACTTTAAGTGAACTATGTCAAAACTGCTACCAAAAATTTAAAAACTTTCATAGAACTGTATTTTTTTTTTTAAAGATTCATTTATTTATTCATGTAGAACTGGGGTACAGGCCAGAGATGCGGAGGGTGAGAGGATTCACCAGAGACAGAGTGGGGAGCAGAACAGGCAGATGGAGGAAGTACACTGCTGAGGGGAGCAGCGGGCGGGTCAGGAGAGGTCTGCCGCACCATGTGGTCACCTCTGGGGCAGGCGGGAATTGAACTCATGCAGAAGTGGCTTTAGCTTCTCAGTGCAGTGCTTTAACCCGCTGCGCCACCAGGGAGGGCCAGAACTGTATTTTTAACAGGGTGAATAATATTGTGAAAAACTTTCAAACCCGTGTTTAAAAAGCTAAAGAAGTCAATCAGATTAACCCCATTTTTTTAAAGAAGAAAATGTTGAGGTTCATCTGTTCTCTTACCAAATCTTCTCCAGGGTTCATTCACTTTGCACTTTGGAGTAAATTTGTCACAGACCCTCACCCAAAGGGGTGCTTCCTCCGTCTGTGTTCCCTCCAGCCTCATTCTCCAGCCTTACTGACTTGCTCTAGCTCCCTCAAGCTCACCCCTACCCCAGGGCCTTTGCACATGCCATCCCTGACCAGGACACACTTTACACCCCCTCCTTTGCTCGAATACCTCCCCAGGGAGCCCTCATTTCCCAGACCAATATTTCACCTACCTTTAATACTCTCTTGGGGGGGACCACCGGAACTTCATATCATAACATTGATGGCAATACATTTAAATAAAACCTGTTTCCTCCAACAAACTGAGATGTCTCTTATTCACAGCTATGTCTCCACCAGCAATGTCAATGATTAAATGGAGAAAATGCAAATTACACCCCTCCCCCCCTTTTTCCTTCATCCTTCCCTTAGCAAATATTTATTTAATACTTATAATGTGCCAGACACTGTTGTGGGCCCCTAAAACACAACAGCAGTGAAGACAAGCTAAAAGGTCTGTCCTCACTGAGCTCCCGTGGTAGGAGAGCAGCCAGAGAGTAAATCCGCCTAACATCGAGATGCGCGTGCGCACACACACAGTGGTGGCAGTGATAAATACCAAGGAAAGCTGGACAGAATGGGCCATGGGGTACGATGGGGATGCCATGTGACCCAGGAAGCTTGGTCCGGAGAAGGACTGAGCCCTGGGGGATCTGGGAGCAGGTGCTCCGCGTGAGGGACCCAGGCTAAGTTCCCCAGGGTCTGCACAGGCTCTTTGTATTTCCTGTTCTATTCAGGGTGCCCTCATCCCCCCCTTCTCCCCACTTTCCTCCCCACCCCCCGCTCTTCCCCACTCCTCCCCCAGCACCACCCTGCCTCCCTCCATTCCCAGGTACCTGACTTGGGGTAGGTAATGATGAAAATGTCGTCATCCTGGACACTGGCAGTGTTCTCTGCAAAGCTGATGCTCTCGGGGGTGTAGAGGCCGGAAGGGAAGGGGATGCCCTTGTAGTTGAAGTACTCCCCTGACAACTTCTGTCTGTAAGAGGGAGGGAAACGCCATGAGAACAGGGAGGAGGCTAGAACCAGGACCCCTTGTGAATGTGGGGGCAGCTGTTGAGCATCTTCTGTGGTCATGGATGGTGGACAGGTCCAGCTTTACAGCGGAGGCCACATGGAGGCATTGCTGGCAGGTGAGGGGGCGAGGGGTGCCCCATCCTTTCTCTTTTTTCTAATAAACCTGTCCCTGCTGAAACTTTTTCCTTGGAACCTACGGGCTGGTGGCTTACTGAGCAGCCTACAAGGGCTGTGGAATTTGTGATGTCACTGGTTACCAGCAGCCGAAAGTTGAGTGAGAAGTATGGACGAGAAGGGTCCAGAGCTTGTGCTACAATCATGAGCCATTCAAGCACAGGAGGAAAGAACCTGTGTTGCCAGAAGAGGGGCTGGGTCTCGGGGGGAGGGAACAGAAGATGAGGGTGTGGGGGGAGGCCGGGAGGTGGGGAGGGCTGGGTGCCCATCTTGAGCACTTTGCAAAACTCATCCACTGTGGCTAACTCTGCAGGACCTCAAGTGCACCTGCCTGCGCTGGCTTATTTTGTGCCTGGGTGAGCACACTCCCCAGGAAGGTTAACAAGCAAGTCAGCAGAGCACAGTGCACTCTGTCCTGCAAACAGCTGCAGCCCACTGCTTTGTTTCAAGTAGAAGCTACAAGAAACCCCAAGTCCGGTGCATCAGGCACATTTCCTGGGCACATTTCCTGTTTTTCCCTGCACCTACAGACCCTATATATACCCATGGGCAGTCCTAATAAACAGACTTGGGACTTCAGACCCCAGGCTCCTGCTTCAGTTTCTCCAGTCTCTGAGTCTCCTAAATTCAGGTGTCGGGCAAACATGGTGGTCAGCGCACCCCAGTGCACCCCTCGGTGGGTTTGCAACAATCCACAGTTTGAATTTTACATTTCATCTGCTGTGCAGCTTGGGGCAAGTCACTCAACCTTTCCAGGCCTCAGTTTTTTCCACCAAAGGGAAACTAAAAATAAAATTATTTTACAGGGTTGTGAGCATGTAAAACAAAATGCTTAGCATGCAATAAGTACTATGCACATGTTTGTCCAAGGCTTAAAAATAAAGTTGGACCATAGACAGTGGCTCCTTGTTGACACTCAAGAAATATGGACCACTTAATCTTGTTAATTATGCACAGCAACAGATACAGCAGGAGGGGCCCTGGGCAAAGTGAGGGTGCACAGCTTAGGATGGCATCAGTCACCTACGTGGATTGTGGAGCTTGTGACGTCACTGGTTACCAGGCATTTTAGCCAACAGCTCTGAGGTCAGCAGCTACCAGGCAGATCAGCATTGAAGTGCCTGGACCAGGCTGTCTCTCCTCTTTGTGCCCTGAGTAGTGGCTCTCCCCTCTTTAAGCCTCAGTTTCCTCCTCTGTCACATGAGGGAAGCAGTCATCTCTACCCCAGGGTGTTGCTGTTTTGCTTGTTAAAGAAACAGGTGTATTAGGAAAAGAGAGGCCGCTGTACAGTCTCAGGTGGGCAGAGAGCTGCCTCCCCGGCAGGGATTTAATCCTGCTTGAGGATTAAGTGGAATCAGATAAAGGAAGACCCAGGTGCCGATAAAGGCCCAGGAAACGGGCTCTCCTAACAGCATGATCTCAGTCTCCTTCTCCAAGTTTCTTGAGGGGGATATTTCTTCTGGATTGCACAGAAGAGGGTCATGGAGGTGCCAATGAAGAAAAACTTCTGGATGAGGGCCTCCGTGGTGGTGCATTGGCTTAAAGTGCAGCACTGTGACGCTAGCAGCAATTGCTTCAGCACCAGTTCAATCCCCTGCCAGGGAGGTAAACCACAGGGGGCAGCAGACCTCTCCTGACCCGCCTACTGCTCCCCTCAGCAGTGGACTTCGTGGATCTGCCTGTTCTGCTCCCCCTCTGTCTCTGGTGAATCCTCTCTGCGCCTCTGACCTACACCCCAGTTCTGTGTGCATAAATAAATCTTTAAAAAAAAAAGAAGAAGAAATGGTCTCTGGATGAATAAATGTAGGGGTGTCCCTCCCTCAACAATCTCCCAAATCAGAGTGCAAGCTCCAGACTGCGTTACCCCAAGAGTCTGGGGAGAAACCTCCATTGCTAGGACATCGTTGGTGCTCAGCCAGTATTTGACCGAATGAACAAATGTGTGGCTGTATGAATATGCGAATGAATGAAGGGGACTGGATGGGGAAGAGAAGCGCTTTCCATGGCGGCTGTGGTTCTCACCCTGAGCACCCGCCCTTGAAAGCCTCCCAAAGCCTGGCTTCATCCCGAGCCCACAGCCTCACCCCTCGGTCCAGGACAATCATTATGGAGACACAGTGGAATAGAGTGTGGGTCTCCTCGCTTGTCAGGAAACTACAGAGGAGAACTTGGACCAGGAAGAGGAAATTTGGCCAAATTCCAGCAGAGCGGGGAGTTGAACACTGGCTCTTGGAAATCTCTGTTCCTCCCTCCACCTGTGCCCAGACTTCATCAAAGCTTCCAAAAGCCCCCAGCACTAGTCCCACCCCCAGGCCTCTGCCTTTGCTGTTGCTGCCACGAATGTCATCTGTCTTTTCCCAGCTTCAGCTTTGGTGGCCAAACTGTTCTCCCCTCACCTCCCCAGCCCTGCCACCATTATCTGGATTCCTGCTTGGCTGGATTCTCACTGTGTGTCCTAAGACAGATGCCCTGAGCCTTCTCACCCCACTGGGTAAATCAAATCTGGCCCCAGGGTGACCCATTCCGTTCCCATGCCTCTTTCAGAGCTGGGCATGCCATGATCGCTCAATTAGAGCAGAGGAATGAGGATGAGAGCTGTGTCAGAGTCTCTGCAGAGAAGGTGGGGGGGCAGCGGAGCTACCACTGACGTGATGGCGACTAGCTGAGCGTTTGCTTGGGCTCCGCGGGGTTCCTGGCCTGGCCTGGCCCTGAGACTCTGAGAATGGCCTAAGGGGTGCAACCTCCACCTCCCACCTTTCCCCTTCACTGCCCTGGCCGGATCAAGTCTCCTGCTCACACTCACATCCTCAGCCCACCTGCCAGCCCAGTCCTCTGCCTGCTTCCTCCTCCTGCACCCTTAGCCCAGAACTCAGGATCCTACACAGCCTGGGCCTGCCTGTTCATCGGCCTCTTCAAACCTCAGAGACGATCTTCCTTTGACACCAGGGGTAGGAGTTAGGGCCGGAGGAGTCCCCTTATGGAACTTCTCTACCAAGGACAAGCTTAATCACAGACTCACCGAACCCCAGGACGTGGATATTGAGAACACCGGGTTATGCCAGAAGAAATGGGGGGTCAGAGAGGTTTTATCTATTTCCCCCAGGTTACACCGCACTCTTCAGAGGAGGCCCCAGAAAATACCAGTCCAGAGTCTCCACCCTGCACTCTGCCCCGAGGACACAAGGTGTCTGTCTCCTTCTGTGTTTTGCCCCCATTCCTGGCATACAACCGGAGTGCAATAAACACACTGGCTCCCAGTTCAGATTCCCTGGGTGGGGGAGGGTCTGGTCAGCCCACTCTGGGTGCTCCGGGCCAGGCAGCCCAGTCCACACAGTGAGAAAAAAGACAATGAGGGCCCTTCCTGGTGGCACGGTGGGTTAAAGCCCAGCACTCTTTGCACCCACCGCAGCAGGAGCTCAATCCCTGGCCAGGGAGGTGACCCACAGACATCTCCTTTCTCCCCGCTGCTGGATGGAGGACCCTCAGCAGTGTATTTCAGTACATCTGCCTGTTCTGCTCCCCACTCTCCGGTGAATCTTCTCACCTCCCCCCTCCCCATACCCCCACTTCTGGCTGTACCTCAGTTCTTGTATGTATAAATAAATAAATATTAAAAAAAAAAAAGAACCTCAGTCCAGTCTGCTTAAGACCTTCCTGGGGTTCCAAAGCCCTACCATCTAGCACACCCCTCTCTCTCCATTCCTCCCCTTCCTCCTTGCTCTTAGCTTCGGTCCCACAGGTTTCCTTAGAGTTCCTCCAGCCTCTCAGGCTGAGTCCTGCCTCAGGGCCTTGGCTCGGTTCTCTCTGTCTTCCACTCAGGCTTATAACTTCCCCACTCACCGTCTCAGATAGTCAGAGCCAAACAGCTCCCCTACCCTGCTTTGTTCCCCTTGACACTGTCCCCCTCCAGCTGCCCTGAGGTTGACCTCATAGCCAGACAATTGTTGCATGTATAGTCCATGAAACTGAGGATGTCTTCTTTTTCCTATCTTGGTTGTCGACGGAGAGAAAACCCTGGCTCGTGTGGAGGGGGCCCTCGGTCCATACTTGTAAGACATTAAAACAGCCCTCACATGGTCATGGGTGCATGGTGTTCTCCACCACCCTCTGAAGGCGGTGCTCTTACTCTCACTGTTTTACTAAGACAGGGAGGCCCAGACAGGCAACATCCCTTGGCTAAGGTCACACAGCTGCAGAAGACAGAGCTGGGGTTTGAGCCCAGGCACCGATGCCCCGAAGCTGCACGCTCACACTCCAGGTAGGGGGAAGACAGAGACTCCTGTTCTTTCACCAGGACTCATTCTGGGCCGGGGGCAGTTAGAGAGAGAGGAGCTAGGTCTCAGTTTGTCTCATTACAATGCGTGGCAGCGGGATGGAAAAGGATGACTCAGGCCATGTCCAGAACAACAAGAAGCCTAGAGGCACAACGCGGGGGCAGCCCAGACCCAAGGAATCGTTTTGGTTTAGAATCAGACAGAAAATAAAAAAGATCCAAGGTGTAAGCAGGCAAATGGGGAATGCACACGTGTGTGGGGCACGTAATCAGCTGGCCCAGCCAAGGTTGGGAAATGGGGAGAAAGTTGGGGCGTCTCGGTGCTTCTGCTGCTCTCACCATGACACCTGGCTGTGTGCATGCTGTGTTCACGTGGAGAGACCCTCACACCAGGACTTTCGCCCTGAGAGATTCCTTAGCTCAAACTTGCCCTGTTTCTGCACACTCAGAGACACAGAGTAGTCAAAACAAAAACCAGTCGAGGCAAAGACACGACATGGTCGAGGCGCACGATAATCCAAGGTCCTGCTCACGTGATTCTATAACCTCACAAGTCTCAGTCTCCAACTCCCTCCCTCTGGCGCAACGAATATTTAACACCCGGGGGATATTG